AAAAAAATCATAACTATAGTACCGATCAGAGCGCGTTAATAAAATTCGGTGTGTGCACCACTAATAACATGTAGAACACTCCATATAAAGGAATTTTTTTGTCTGCGGGGTTTACACCCTTAAATAAATTAATTTCTTCCGAGCGTGGATGAATATCAAAAAAATCATAACTATAATACCGATCAGAGCGCGTTAATAAAATTCGGTGTGTACACCACTAACAACATGTAGAACACCCCATATAAAAGAATTTTTTTGTCTGCGGGGTTTACACCCTTAAATAAATTAATTTCTTCCGAGCGTGGATGGATATCAAAAAAATCACAACTATAGTACCGATCAGAGCGCGTTAATACAATTCGGTGTGTACACCACTAACAACATGTAGAACACCCCATATAAAGGAATTTTTTTGTCTGCGGGGTTTACACCTTTAAATAAATTAATTTCTTCCGAGCGTGGATGGATATCAAAAAAATCATAACTATAGTACCGATGAGAGCGCGTTATTAAAATTCGGTGTGTACACCACTAACAACATGTAGAACACCCCATATAAAGGAATTTTTTTGTCTGCGGGGTTTACACCCNGTATACTAGCCCTTAGCACTGTAGCATATATATAAACCAGTGATGTATTTGGGATTACAGTCAATAGTGCTAAGGGCTAATGTAATAAGAACACTCTGTGTTGTTGTCACAGTGTTCTTATTACATTAGCCCTTAGCACTGTTGACTGCAATCCCAAATACATCACTGGTTTTTTTCTTAACTAGTCAGTCAAGACTACCCTTCCTGCTCTATATATATATATGTGTCCCAAAAGTGATGCCCGTCCTTATGGGTTTTGATTTTTGGAAAAAAAAAACAGTCATTTGTATTTATCAGTTAATTATGAAAACATATACTTTGCCGATATGTGTGCAATACTTTGTGAGATTCTAGGGTCGGCAACCTTAATTTAATTTTTTATTTCGAAAATTTCTCCCAAAATGTTTTCATCATAAGACTTCTATTTATGGGCCGAAAAATCATCCCCTAAAAAACAATACGAGTTCCACGATTTATTACCAAAATATAAAACTTTAATTTTTACCAGTTACTGCAAATTAGAGTACCACTAAAATATTTTTAAATTAAAATATTAATCTACGACACAATTAGCATCATTATTTGGATGCCATTATGGCCTTCATAATAATAGTGCCGTTATGAATTCATAATAACACGCTTTTAAAGTAAAAAAATAAACAAAAACAAAGTTAGTCACCACTTTTACTTGTTATTGTTACTATAAAACATTAATTACAACTTCTGAACAATTTGTTAAGTTAATTTCAGCAGATCATAAGTAGACTGTATTTTTAGAAAGTAAGTTTATTTCTCAAGTGCTTGAACTTGTTGAAGGATCTGAAAGTTATCCAAAATATTAGAGGCAACTTTCTTCTTATTTTCTTTGGAATCTTCTATATAGCTTTCTGCCACTGTGTTATAGTGCCAACCACCATGCCTCTTAACAATTAATAAATAGACTCCTGAATCTGCAAGCAACGATGCAGATGATCTACAAAAACAATGTCCAGTATATTGTTGAGGATTTGGAAGACCCAGGAACAATGGTAAAATAAAAGTATTAATGCCAACTGGCAGCTTGATGCATTTTCCATTTCTGTACCCCAATCGAGTATAATCTGTGTTGGTTGACCTCATCGCTATATATCTGCGAACCATTTCCACCATATTTATTCCTTTAATATTTCTGTTTGTGATAAAAACATCTTGTGATATCTTTGTTTTCGTAAATGGAATAATAATATTGCATTATGCATTGTCCTTCATCTTTAACATTTTGTAGGTGTAGATTTGTCAATTCAGTACGCCTGCAAACACCTGCAAGCCCCACTATAAATACAACTTTTATCATAAAATGAGTTCTATCGTTGGCTTCCAGCAAAAATTGAGTTATGTTTTCTTTTAAAATCTTAGATTTCTTTGACCGAAATCCTTTCGATTTTCTTTTTAGAAATGTAATTAAATGGACTTACTAATATCCATATTTTTTGTCATTGATATAACTGAACGTAGTAAAGAAAAATATACCCAAAGCGACGAAGGCTTGTTATGTTTTGAAAGATATTCAAAATATGCCAGAAGAACCTTTTCATTGCTGCTATTCTTGATTCCTTTCCCTTTACACCAATCATCAAGTTTTGCATAACTTTGCTCGTACGTCTGTCTTAATTTTTTGGGAAGTAGGGTATTGACAACGCTTTACGCAATTTCCAAAGGAAGACTCTCGGAATCACTCATTTAAATATTCAATTTCACTAAAACTGAACGTATGACACAAAATTGTATACCAATAATGAAGTTGTTAAAGTCAAATTTAAAACAATCAATAACTGTGGTTACTATGACATCAAATAAGAGCACCTAATAATTTTGAATTTCAATTTATGATGTTTCTGATATTTTAAAATAAATTGAATTTCTAATAAAATCTATTTGGATAGTCGTAAATTAAATTTTAAATGATACACGTTTAATATGAACTTTGTTAATGAAACTTGTGTAACTAAATCACTCGGTTAACGCCTCGTGATTTAACGTTACACGCATTTCATTATAGTGTTCATGTCGAACTATAGTAGGATCGTATTCAATGCAAAGTAGAGCAAAAAATTGTCGGTCTTTTATCAAAGGAAAATCGTGTCAACATTTTTAAGACGCTTAAGATAAACCATTTCAAATTTAAAATGAAATTGAATGTAAAATTTGAAATACCACATCATACACATTGTGTTCTGGTAATAGCTGTAGCCGCCCAGCTGCTCAAATATGTTACTAACCTGGCGAGTTTGGTCGTAAATCAGAGACCGCCTCCAAAAAACAAGTAAACAACAGTGTGGCGTACAGAGGTAAAATGTAGTATATATATGTAGAATTTAAAAAACAAATTTATAATAAATTACATTTAAAATAAATAGTTCATGAGAATAAAGGAATTTTTGTAGGGACAAAAGTGCCAGACGTGAACTGATCCCTTCATCGCTTCATAATGCATAAAGAAATTATTCAATTTCTAAACCCCTTAAAACTGTACTGTACTGGATCCCTTGACAGGCAATGATTTATTACTTTGCATCAAATATGATACTACTATATGTTAGTATCATTAATAACCATAATGTCAGTTGAAGTTTTTGTGGTGACACTATGTGTATGTATGTTCTCCAAAAATTGTTCTTGAAAGGAAAATTAACCTGTCTTAACAAATTTTCGCATTTGACGTTGTTTTCAAGATAAACCTTTATATTAGCAATGATTATTTTTTAGAAAAAATATCAACTGGAGCTTTTGCAGTGCTTAAAAGCGTTGGCAGAAAAGCATGAAAATAGAAGCAATACCACAACCTATAATTTATTTAAAATAGCTGTAACCTTGTTGTCGTTAAGACATCCAGATACTGCAGAAGAAATATTTTTAGAAGTATTTGATGATATTAAAATAACATTGGATTTACAGAGTACTAATATTTTATGGAAACTTTATACACAACCGTTGCTGAAGCACATTAATATCAATCCAAAAATATGGACCACTGTCACTGATAATGCCTGTATATATTTAACTATTCTTTGTCATTCAAAAGAAGCTTTTGGAGAAAATTTGGAGTATATTCAATCTATTTTAAATGAATTATTTGACCCTGAAGCAGATGCTGAGATGAAATTAAAGACGCTTTACGTCTTAGCAAATATTTTTGAAGAAAAAGGTGTGTTTCTGAGAAATACTGTCGATTTAACTCCATTCTTCGAAAACATGGTCAAAGGTATGTATATGACGTCTAAATAGATATTACAAACTTTAACATCAGTTAGAACTCGTTAAAAAAATATAAAAAGTTCCTACCAGTATGGTTTGGAATTTCTAGTATATTATACATTATTTGTAATTGCTAATGTTATTAATAGGTTAGCGTTATACCACAAAACATACAACAGAGATAATACTACGGATATTTAAACAAAATGAATGAATTATGAAATTGACTTGGCGCAAAAAGCATCTGTCCCTACTGAGCTTATACTGTGCGTATGTACACTTACCGACTTAAAATTTGTTAAAAAGTATTGAAAAAAAAAATGAAATATAATTGGGTAGTTTTATTTTAAGTACCTACTATTGAAATATAGGGAAAATGTGTTCAACATCATTTTTTATGGTGAATGTCCATTCTTCTGCTTTTATCCGAAATAAACTTTTCAATTACTTTTCCATTAAAATTTGGTATTACTGTTAGTCTGTTTTAACAATCAATTTAACGAGAAGCAATATATGTCACAAAATTTTTCACCACACCTGAACAAATTACTTTTAATAAAAACAAAATCTGAATAGCTACTATTTGGTTACGGTAGGACTAAAGAGAACCTAAACTGCATAGTAAATATGCGCTATTCCCACTCCGTCTTTCACTGTTGCACTACCACCACTGTAAACACTTTACAGATGTAGGTACGAGCTATGCGGAGCTCACATATTCAGAATTTTTCAAGTGAATTTTGCACGTTGAGATAAATTGACTGCACATTACAAATTCAACACCACTTTTTTGTGTTTCATAATCCTAATCTATTTAATTATCTAAATAACATTATAAACTAAAGGGTCTAGCAGGATAAGATAAGGTCAGCGGCCCCAGAAAGGTATTTTGAAAATGACTTGTGTGGTAACATCATAGAGATATAAATCTACCATTAACATATATTCAGCCTCACATCTCGCTGCGTTCTGGCGATAATTGATCAAATAGACGCTAGAGTGGGTATTTTTCAAAATTGTTTTTTTCGAAAACTATTGCAGCTGCCCTAATGAAACAAAAACTGTTCGTTAGACAAAACATTAGTCTTCGTTATATATTTTTTCTAGAATTTTTCTTATTTACTAATAAAAACAATTAAAAATATTTTTTTCAAGATTTCATTCTTAGTTCACGCAGAGGTACAATCACAGAAAAAATATATAATGTAGCGTACTATAGTAGGATCGTATTCGATGCAAAGTAGAGCAAAAAGTTGTCGGCCTTTTATCAAAGGAAAATCGTGTCATCACTTTTAGGAGGCGTAAGATGAACCATTTACCATACGCACTGTGTTCCGGTAGTAGCTGTAGTCGCCCAGGTGCGTCGAGTGTACGAAGTGGTCGGTTATACGTCAAATATTAACCTGGCGAGCTTGGTCGTAAATCAGAGAGCGCCTCCAAAAAACAAGTAAGCAACAGGGGCACGTACAAGAGTAAAATGTAGTACCTATGTGGAATTTAATATACAAATTGGATTTATAATAAATTACACTTAAATTAAATAGTTTATGAGAATAAAGGAATTTTTGTAAATTAATTAATTTTGTGAATAAAGGGTGCCAGACGTGAACTGATCCCTTCGTTCCTTCATAATGTATAAAGAAATTATTCGATTTCTAAAACCCTTAAAAGCGTATGGCACTGGTTCTCTTGGCAGGCAATGATTTATTACTTTGCATCGAATATGATCCTACTATATGTCTAGTATTACTACCAAAAAGTGCATAAATATAAAATGGGTGCAACACTATCAAAAAAAATTAAAACTTCATATTAGGTACTAATGACTTCCCATTTGTGACACCATTATCATCTGTTTATTACTCAAAAATATATTAGGTAGTAGTTAAAAATGTAAGGAAGACTTTGATTTTGACATAAACAGATGAAAATTGTTTGTGGAACTACGAGGTTTTTAGAGAATAAGACGAAACATATCACTTTCCAGCTAGTCGCGTGTGTGCATTGTGTTTTGTTTACGTATTATTTTTATGCCCGCACCACTATAGTAGCTCGACTTCAATTATCATGTGCGGATTGTTTCGGATTATTAAAATTTTTTTATAATTAAACTGTTTTATTTGAACTCGCCTCATGGTTTCGGTTTGATTTACCTATTTTATTTTTTTATTTATTTTGTTTTGTTTTGCTTTATTTTATTTTGTTTTGTTTATTTATTATATTTTGTTTGTTTTTATTTTATTCTGTTACTTTATTTTTTCAGAAGACAATTTTTTGATCGTTGTTGTTGCAGTGGAACGGCCTCGGCTTCTTTCTTCGTTGGCGAAACCCCTCTGGACGGCTAATGTGTAGTGATTGATTTTGGGGTTTGTAAAAATAAAACGCAGAATTTTTGTTGCTTGTAACGTGTGAGCTGGTTGTTTGCAACCTAACTGGCCGCGCTCCGATCATTATCAACACTCGATTCAAGCAACTTCGCGCTAGATCAAGCTTTACATAAAGAATTCGCAACTACGCAAAGTCAAATCATCGTCTACGATTCAATATTACAACGAAAAATTCCACGCTGTAAGCAACAAAAATTCTGCGTTTTATTTTTACAAAACCCAAAACTCCACAACCACTACACATTAGCCCTGCAGAGGAGTTTAGCCGACGAAGAAAGAAACAGAGGCCGTTCCACTGCAACAACAACGATCAAAAAATTGTCTTCTAAAAAAATATAGTAACACAAAATAACATAAAAACAAACAAAATAAGATAGAAACAAGCAAAATAAAATAAAATAAATAAACAAAACAAAATAAAACAAATAAAATAAAGCAGAACAAAAAAAATAAAACAAAACAAAATAAATAAAAATAAAATAAAATAGGTAAATCAAACCGAAACCCTGAGGCGAGTTGAAATAAAACAGTTTAACTATAAAAAAAATTTGAATAATCTGAAACAATCCGCACACGATAATTGAAGTCGAGCTACTATAGTGGTGCGGGCATAAAAATGATACGTAAACAAAACACAATGCATACACGCGACTAGCTGGAAAGCGACATGTTTCGTCTTGTTCTCTAAAAACCTTGTAGTTCCACAAACAATTTTCATCTGTTTATGTCAAAATCAAAGTCTTCCTTACATTTTTAACTACTACCTGATATATTTTTGAGTAACAAACAGACGACAAAGGTGTCACAAATGGGAAGTCATTAGTACCTAAGATGGTCATAAGAGGTTTTAATTTTTTTTGATATTGCACCCATTTTATATTTATGCACTTTTTGGTAGTAATACTAGATATAGTAAGCTACATTATACATTTTTTCTGTGATTGTACCTCTGTGGGAACTAAGAATATAATCTTTAAAAAAATATTTTAATTACTGAACTTAAGTTTTAAATTTTGTATATAAAAAAATTATAAAATAGATAATATTTGAAATTGAGGGATTTTAAATGATGAGGCTGATTAAGGCTAAGTAGCCAGATTTATACAGTGTATCCGCGGTTGGGGTACCGCACTCTTGTAAATTTTTTTATTGTTGGTTTTTGGAGAAAAAGTTATTCTTTAAATTTAATATAAAAATACTTTGGTAGAACAATATCCAGGTTGGTTGCCCTTCCTCAGAAGTTTTTGAGTTTTTGAAAAGAACAACTGCTACGGTAGTCAACAAACCAAATAAAAGTAGCTTTTCTAATTAAAAATTTTAAATTAGAACTGGAATTAACAACAACAATAAAGCAAATCCTTTTCAAATTGTAAATTTCTATACAGCGTGATTCAGTCAGAATGTCATTAATTTTAACCATATATTCGGAAGGCTTAATAAAGACAGAAAATCAAAAATTTTTTACTCGACTTGAAAATGAAGGAAATCAACCCATAACTCCCGCTAAGAGAGCAGCCCTGCCAGATGCCCAGATGCTCGGAAAATTTTGCAATGTAAGCCCGAAGGCTTAAAGCAAATTAAAGAATTAACATTATGATGTTAATAAAAACTGATTTTTGGCAAGGCATGTTCAGACTTCCTCGAGGTTCTTGCTGGGCAACAATAACAATTTAATATGTTGATTGCATAATTATAAAAAATAATTTATAGCATTTTAAATTATTATTGACTGACGTGAGCAAACCGTTTATTTATTGCCTTTATATGAGCGAAAATATATAAATATGGCAACGTTGCATCTAGGGCGCGTTGTTCATATCATAGCTGTGCGCAAATTGTGAATTACCCGCTACGTCAGCCAGTCAGAAACAGCCTGAAAAGGGAGTTAAATAATGATTTGAAAATATTTTTTTCAGCTAAATATGCATTTAATTTTTTTTAATCAAGCCATCATATACTCATTTTTCTCTATCTGCTTTTAAAATTAATGACATTATGACTTAATCACCCTGTATAATACATATTTTTCAAATTTTTTTCTAAATTCCTTGTACACAGACGAGATAATTTCTTCGTTCGTGCTGGCAACAGCTTCCTGAATTTTTTGTTTAAGTAACTGTTATCTTAAAAATCTTTTGTATACACTTTTTGCTTTAGGTATCCCCATAAAAAATAATCCAATGAGGACAAGTCGGATGCCCATGCAGGCCAAAGTATTGATCCATCGCGTCTGACTACCTGTTCGGGACGTGAATGTTAAGCCAGTTTCTCATTAGAAGTATGGAATGTACAAGGCATCCGTCTTGTTGAAATGTTAGTTTTCTTTTTCTGAACTCTAAATTTTCGCTATCTAGTTCTGCCAAAACAAAATTATTGAGAATTTCCAAATACGAATTTTGATTAAGATTTTCTTAAAAATTATAAGGACCAATTATTATGATACATTATGCCACACCAGACATTTACTTTTTAAAATTTTTGACTATTAATTAATTACACAAGCCGACAATTTTCAGAACCAGAAACCGGACCTAGTGTATGCAAAGGATTTTGGTGCGCTGATTACAAATCCGAGCTCAGAATTGGCCCATCACCCTAGGTTCTCGAGATATTCTAACCTAAATGTGCAAAAATCGCGGTATATTCGGGGTCAGATTACAACGTGAATTAATTTTTTATCTTAATTCATGTTAAACCATCTCAAAGTACCACTCTTACCCTTCTAAGTGCACTTCAATTTTTTTGAAAATCTTTTTTTCCATAGAGATATGATAGATTGAAGTTTAGTACTTCAGCGATTTCGTTACAACATGGAAAATTTAAGTTAACCTGTCGTGGGTTTAACTCTCGCTGGTTATTGCGCATTTAGATTAACATGTCGTAGGTTATAGCACATTATGATGAACCTGTCATTAACTTATCATGTGAATGTAACGGCATGTATACATAGGTATCTGCTTCATATAGTATTCAATTTTAGGTTAGAGAATCTTGAAATATTGAAGTTATGGAGCAGGTACGCCGGTATTTTTAAATTCAGCGACTCTATATCTCGTTTTTGGATAAACTTAGTTTATTTCCATTTTGTAACGAAATCGCTGAAGTACTAAACTTCAATCTATCATATCTTTGTGGGAAAAAAATTTTCAAAAAAATTGAAGTGCGCTTAGAAGGGTAAGAGTGGTACTTTAGTTGGTTTAACGCGATTTTAGAAAAAAAATTTATTCACGTTGTAATCTGACCCCGAATATAACGAAAAACCGCGATTTTTCCACTTTGAGGTTAGAATATCTCGAGAACCTAGGGTGATGGGGCAATTCTGAGCTCGGATTCATAATCAGTGCACCAAAATCCTTCGGGTACACGAGATCCGGTCTCTGGTTCTGGACTTTCGTAAAATTTTGTTGGCCTGTGTTTGGATTATCTTTAGCTCAGTATCTACTATTTTGAGAGGAAACCACACCATTAGTTGTGAATATTGATTCGTCAGTAAATAAAATATTATGATGAAAGAATCTGTTTTCAATCAGTTTCTCTTAAACAATTGTCCAAGTGACGACTAACATCTCCATTAAGCAGTTTATGTTTTTGTTGTACTTATACTAAAATTCTTTGAATATGAGATCTGCTAATATCTATGTTTTCTGACTTTTTCCCGAATGATATCTTTGTAATATCAAAGGCCAAAACTACAACAGTAGCAGCATCGTTATCATTGTATTCTTTTTTTATCTTTTTAATATTCTTTACATCACCAGTGATTTCGAATTCACTAATTAGCTTGCAAACTGCTACTTTTCATTAAAAATTTGTTTTGCATATCGATATGAAACCGATTCCATAACATTTCACAAGATAAATTCGTTGCTCCAGGATTAACATTATTAATAAAAATTATTCGGTGAGCAGTTAAAAAAATAAATATGTTCACTTTGACATTGATAAGGAAAATCCATGGTAATTACATGGTATGTAAGATAGTTAAAAATTGTGGCATCTTTTTTATTTACAAAATGTGACTATTGTTCTTTTCTTACTAAACTCTGTGATTTAAGCATTTCTGGAGTTCTCGAAAATCTTTTTAAAATTCAGTTTTTAATGAAAACAAAAATTAAAGGCACTGCTTAAGAAAAATTTCACATTTTAAAATTTTTTGGATGCCCTATATGTTTTATTACATATTTAATTACAGCCCATGGCTACCTAAGATAAGCAAAACTTCTATCTTCTATCAACAATAACTTTTTTTTCCAAAAATCAACAACAAAGAAAGTTTACGAGAGTGTGGTAACCCATCCGGGAACACCCTGTATAAATAAAAATTAAATGCTCTTTGTTGGTAAGCGCATTACTTGAGAACGGCTGGACCGATTTGGCAAATTTTTTTTATGGTAATGGTAATACCTTTTTAGGGAAAAAAATTGGAAAAGTTGCCTGGAAAATTGGAAAATTTGGGAAAAACTAAAAGTACTTATCACAAGCAAATTTATTGAAATTTGAACAGGATGTATGTCGGGTCAGCTAGTTTTTAATAAAAAGATCTCTAAAGTGTGTTACGCACTTTGTGGTTCTAACTCTCTAGTGCTAATTTGCAAACCTTTTTGTTTACTCAGAGTAGTGAGAACTTAATAAGAGCAGAATGGAAACAAAACAAAAAATAGGAATTTTTTCTCTTATTTTTTAATGCATAATGTCCTTACAAGATACCACGTGTTTTTAACACTTTATGATACAAATAAAAATAGTCACTAACATGCGACTTAATTTATATTTCAGTTGTTTTTGTACCATCATTGGTATGGCACGCTGGGGCGACTGCTGAAGCGCTTCGTACTATGGCTGTTTTATGTCTTAGAAATGTATTAATTTCAAATAAGAAAATAGGTATTTTCAATAAAGAAGATTTACTAAAAGAAGTTATGAATGAACTGTTGCCGCTGCTTATTTCAATATTAGAAGATGCATCGTACAGAAGTAGACAGTTAGCTTTAGAATGTGTGATATTATTAAAACATATATGTTGCGAGAAGAATATTTGGGCCATTGAAGATTTAATAAAAGTATACCCAGGTTTGTAGTAGTAAATTATATTTTAATTAACTACCATAATTAAAAAAAAATACCTATATTCCGGATATTTCAAGAGTAACTAATAGATTTTAGCAGTTAACAGGTCAGAATCAAGCAAATTTTATTTTTCATAATTAAAGACATAAGTATATATTTTTTATTTATAATGAAATATAATGCTGTTTGTAGTTGTACCTATTTAAAAATTAATTTTGTAATACTATAACTAAGAAAAATTAAAATATTGAAAAAAATAAGAAAACTTATTTGTATCAATTATTGATTATGAAAAAAAATATTTCGCACATATAATTGAATCCTTTTTGACATCAGAGAGGAGGCCGCACTTATTTCAATTTTTTATTTTGAAAATTTAATTGAAAATTTTTTCCTCTATGTGAGCCTAGAAATATCCCAAAAAATAATGGTATGGGTCCCGTGCTTCATTATCAAAATAATTTTGTCAGTCGACATTTTAAGAGGTTGTTTCTCATATAATTTTAATCTATACTCCACGGTCGAAATTATATAGAGTGATTCATCGCTAGCTTTTGGACTAGTAAGGGGGATGAAGCGTGCCAGGAACGAAAATCCATTGGCAGGTCTGCGTAAAAGGCAACAAGATATAGAAAATAATGGAAAAAGATAATAAAACATAACATCTAATATTTTTTACGGTTTGCTATAACAGGCACTTTGATCCATTTGAATCATTACAGCATTTTAAAACGTCCCAATTGTGTTTTTTTAATTTATAAATTTATTATAGCCATGGAATTAGACCCCTCGCCTACGCTTATGCTATGACGTTTCTCAGGACGGGTTAAATCAAGTCCGTTTACACCCACTAAAAAGCATTTCCCTATTCCCTATCAAAAAAAAAGACAGCAGATAGACAGAGATAGAATATACAGGGTGTCTCATAATTAGCTGCCAACCCTGAACAGGCCGATTCTATGATCAAAACTAAGTAAAAAAGTTCATATGAACATGAGTCCGGAAATGCTTCCTAAGGGCACAGGGACCCATTGAAGAGGGAGGAATGGAAATCATTTTTTTGCAATATCTCTCAATCGCGTTGTGATAAATGAATGAAATTTGGTATACACAGCTAAATTTTGATGAGCAATTTGATGGACTAATCCATTTATTTCCACAAGGTCCATTGGGGTGGGTACGGGGGGGCCCTTGGTACTTTGCGTGTGTAACTTTTTCATCTTTGACTTTTTAACAAATTGGACAGCAAATTCCGTTTTCCCGAACTGTTTTACGTTAAAAAGGTACTCTTGTTTCAAATCGTTATCTTTAACGGTTTCTGAGAAAATCGCTCTTGAATTAATCCCACTTTGGTCAATTTCATAGTAATTTAAACAAAAAAAATTTTTTTGTTTAAATTTAATCTAATTTTAATAAAAAAATAATAATAAAAAATTAAATTAAATAAAAATTAATCCTTTAAATGGAAAAGAGAGGAAAGGAAAATTATTATTATTTTTTTTTGTTTAAATTACTATGAAATTGACCAAAGTGGGATTAATTCAAGAGCGATTTTCTCAGAAACCGTTAAAGATAACGATTTGAAACAAGAGTACCTTTTTAACGTAAAACAGTTCGGGAAAACGGAATTTGCTGTCCAATTTGTTAAAAAGTCAAAGATGAAAAAGTTACACACGCAAAGTACCAAGGGCCCCCCCGTACCCACCCCAATGGACCTTGTGGAAATAAATGGATTAGTCCATCAAATTGCTCATCAAAATTTAGCTGTGTATACCAAATTTCATTCATTTATCACAACGCGATTGAGAGATATTGCAAAAAAATGATTTCCATTCCTCCCTCTTCAATGGGTCCCTGTGCCCTTAGGAAGCATTTCCGGACCCATGTTCATATGAACTTTTTTACTTAGTTTTGATCATAGAATCGGCCTGTTCAGAGTTGGCAGCTAATTATGAGACACCCTGTAGATGGACGTTCAGTGTAACTCGGTCTCTAGACGATTATAGATTCTATCGATGTGCGTAGCGAGCGGCACAAAGATAAATAATATTGAACCTTATAAAAATCATTTTATATTTTATACCCATTATGGTAATAGTGTTTTTATTCTATGTCTTAGTCACTCTTTATAATTTCGACCGCGGAGTATAAAAAGATTTACTGAAGGAAAGGTTTGAAGGTTTTTAAAATACCGCATGCTCAAGTTTAAAACAATAAATGAAATTAATAAATGTACCTCCAATTTGCACATAGATGAGTAAATTAAAAATAACACAAAAACTGCCTATTTTACCAAAAATTGTTTTGTTAGACATAATTTCTTTGCTATGATGCATAATTGATCTTAAAATATTACTCGTGGCTATTCAGAACTTCTTTTGAAATAATTGAGGAATACAATTTTTATTATTGATATTTGTCGGTTTTCAGTCCAAAAGTATTTATCTTTGTTGAAAAAAATGACATCTATAGTTTGCATTGACTATTATTATTAACAGTTTGTCAAAGAAGGGTTAATATGGGTTTAACTAAATCTCTCAGTAAGTGAATAAAATGTCTCGTACATTAGCAACCAAACTAATATATGACTTGACTTCTTCTGCCCACATGTTGTCCTGAGGGTCATTACAAAATATTCTGGTTTTAGAAATTTTGAAAAGGTTCGATGATCCTACCGAAAAAGTGAGACTCTGTGCTTTGAAAAATATTTCTTTATTTTTTGACAATCCTCCAGAAGAATTTAAGAAGAACTGTTATAAGGCTCATCATGAATTAATCATTGATACACTTTTAACTCATTTTGATGATGAAGAAGAAGATATTCAAGAAATGGTTTGTGGTAAGTAAATAAATCCAACTCCAAGAATACTGACAACTATGGCCTGCTGCATTTTTTTGAAACGATTTTCAGAAAATCACTAGGGATTTTTTTAATAAAAATTTGGATATGCAGCATTAGTTAACACCACTTAAAACACCAGTATCTCATATTTAATTAATTTTTAAAGGAGAAACTTATTAAATTTGTGTTTCAGTTTCTAAATCTAAATCAATTCAAATATGAGATATTAGCCAATTACTTATAGTTTCCTTCCAACAGGCAAGAGAATTAGTTCAGATCTGGACGAAGATTGTGCAGAACGAAATTCGCGTTCCAACTGATTCTGGTAGTACTTACAGCTTTCCAACAATGATCGAACTAGTTCCGAACTGATTCAGAACCGGTGAAATTAGTACCTGGTCCTGAGCAGGAACTAAAGGGTCTTTCATTAAGGATGTCCGGATTTAAAATGTAAAGAAAACACACAATTGAAGAGATAAATTTAAAATTTCTTTTTTATTTGAAAGGTAATGTTGTCATTACATATGAAAAATAATGTTATTCAAATGACCTCCACGGCTACGCTGGACGTACCGTAATCTTTTGGTCCAATTTATCACCACTTTTTCGCATAAATTGGCCTCTATTTCACCAATTACTCGTTCAATATTGGCTATTAAGTGTCCAATTATTGCTGGCTTATCGCTGTACACTTGTGACTTAATCTCAAAGTCTAGGTGGATAATTTTAGGGCCATTTCTGAAGATTATTTCTTCACCAAATTGATTTTTCAATAAATTCATTGTTTCAGTGGCAGTATGGCACGTGGCACCATCCTGCTGGAAAAAATAATCTAAATCGTTTTCTTCAAGTTTAGGAACCACATAATCCGTTAACATAGCCCAATAACGTTCACCATTCACTGTAACATGCTGTCCTTGTTCATTCTGGAAGAAGTAAGGCCCAACAACACCACCAGCATAAATACCGCACCACACAGTCACTTTTTCAGGATGTAAAGGGTTTTCAACAACGGCATGAGGATTTTCATTGCTCCATATTCTGTAATTTTGTTTATTCACAAAACTATTCAACCAGGAATGCGCTTCATCAGTAAAGATGAATTTTCGATAAAAGAAAGGATCTTCTGTTAACTTTTCTAATGCCCAAGCAGCGAAACCACTACGTAATGCATGATCAGCAGGCTTTAATTCCTGCGTTAATTGAATTTTGTATGCATATAAACCCAAATCTTTACGTAAAATTCTCCAAGTAGTGTTTTGAGAAATGTTCCAAGCTTGAGAGCAACGTGAAATGGACATTTCGCTATCCTCTCTTACACTTCGATGTACTGCCTCAATATTTTCTTGCGTTTTTGCATTTTTTGCAAGTACTGGTACAACAACATGGTGCAAAGAAAATGTTTCAAATTTGCTTACAAAACGACGAATATATGTTTAGTGCAACGACCATATTTTTTTCGAAGTTCACGTAAAGTTTTCACAACACAACACTGATTTTGATAATAAAATTTAATAATTTCCAACCGTTGTTCGAGCATATACTTTTCCATGATGAAATGGCAATATGTACTGAATATGTTTGACAAATAACATATCAAATAATAATACGCAGTGTTGCCATAATAATACATTGAAATCTGGACATCCCTATTGGAAAACCCATAAGAAGGAACTTTTCTTGGAGCATGCGCATTGAATAGACAAAATCATGGAGTTATTATACTTATAACCTCTATATTTTGTGTTTATTACCTATTTTAGTATGAGCGATTTAAATTATGATTTTCTGAGTCGAGCGAAGAAGAGAATTTCGTATACATCTGCGCGCCGCCCTTTCGTTGCTCGTCCAATGTTCGTTTGACTATTCATATTGAAGAACCTTCTGCGATCCACAAGGAAATCCAAGAACATTTTAGTAGACATTTTGCATTGTAGATAATCATGTCTCTCGCGCCCCCGTCCAACTGTACTGCGAACACACAAAGCGTTTGTCGAAAAAACCGACACGAGGTGGATCATTATGCGCCATGCGTGCTGTTCGTGCACAACTCGAAAACCCCGTACTAAACTGAACAGATGACAGACACGTGATAGTTCGTAAACTGTTCCAACACGATTTCCAGGACTGGTTCATAATCAGTACTTATCGAACGCATGCGTACACAATAATTCATTACTGATTCTGAACCAATTCTGAATTCCTTGTTGGAACGAACCTTATAATGCTGATTGGAATTTTTAAATAATAAAGTAGGTATGTTTATGGGTTCTGCTTAAAATTATGACTAGAACTTACAGGCAGATTCTATTATTTACCAATTATAAAGCATTTCCAATGAAACTTAATAAGCTTTTATAAAAATTAAGACTACATAGTCAGATTTGTTATAAAAAAAATCCCTTAAGCAATTTTTCAAAAAAGTCGCTTTTAAAAAAATTACACCAGGCCATGGATAACCAATTGGATAATAGGGTTGTTGACTATAAAAACAAACCATATACAAATTGTTGTTGATACAAAGATTTTATATAAAATAACCTGCCTGTATAGTAAAATTTTAAATATATGACAAATTAGTGGTAGAAATCATTTATGAATTTTTGTGTTACTTAAAAACTAGTCTGACGTCATAAGGGGCAATTGAACAAGAAGCTAGTAGCGATGCTATTGCATAATTTTGAAGAAGAATAAAATATATCAAAATTGTCCATCAAACCCTGTTATCCTGTTCCCTGTTCTTTAAACAAAAGTGACAGTAGTGACACTAGTGACAGTAGACTATCAATTAAGAGTATTTGTGATAGTTATTATTAATTTGCTGATTGTAATGGATTCAACAAAATTTAAGTGGTGTTTTGTTCCACATTCCACATAGCCAATTGCATTATCTCCATAAGACTCCCGAACTGCACTATAATTTTCTGTAAATAAATTTATATTATAAATAAACACAATAAAATTATTCATTAAATATGTTAATTTTTACCTGACTGCTTTTATACCTCTAATAATATTAAAACGGTCGTCTCTTTTTAAAAAATTCAATTCATGATCATAAAAATATCAATTTTCGGTCAAATTTGCGAAGTAGCTTTTACAAATCCCGTTTCACACATTTTGCTTTAATTCTAAGGGAAGGAAGATATTAAATGATTATTACTAAATAATAATTTTACTTACTAAAGGAATTCGAAGATTAAGGAAAATAATTCGTAGACTTGAAAATATTTTATGCAACAATGTCACTGACAGACTGACACTACTGACTGTGTTGACAGAGCATCCTCTTCCTCCAATTTTTTTCCTTTACGCAATCATCTATATATAATATCACTACAAGGTGCCCCTTATGACGTCACAGCCGTTTTGAAATATTATAAAAAAATCAGTTTTAAATAATTATTTTAAAACTGTTCTGACCCTTTCCTCAATTTCTAATTGAGCATACACACTAATTAGTACGTGTAGAATTATATTATCTACTTTTTGAAATTGGTCAACAACCCTATTATTATAAATAGTGTAACAACTACATACATTTAGAGGGCCACCATTCATAAAAACAGTTCATTAAGAGCGTGCTCCAAAAAATTTTTTAGTTAGGCATTCTGGTTCGTTCTTAAGGGGGCGTTTTAATTCATAATTTTCAGTTAATTTATAGCAGTTTTTTGTGGAGAGTTTTAGAAAATCTAAGCAAGGTAGAAACAATATCTCTTCATTGTACTAGTTACACAAGTTTTGTTTAGGGTATAAGACCGTTTTACAAGTTAACAATATATTCAGAATAAGCAAAAATGCATATTTTTCCCTAATTATTGATGTTTAGCGTTACATTTCCTGAACTTTACACACATATAGAAAATCGCGTATGGCACTATAAAGTTAATAGGCATGATGACAGTAACCGGAAAACACTAAAATTTTGTATTTATCTAATGAAATATGATTCACGGATTATAAAAAACGTATTTATTTTTATATTATGAGCGAGATTGATATAATTTTTGATAAAATAAAACTACAAAATACAGCAAACCGCCATAATAGGTTGGACACCAATCAGGGCACACCATTATTCCATGGCTAGAAATTGGCCTCAATGATTTGGGATCGAGGGGGATTATCCCTCTTTATCCTGCCTCATCTCGTGTAGGCCTGGA